ATGAGTCGTGAAGGGTGTTGTTGAATAGAGTCATGGTACCTCGGATTTACAGAGAGGAGAGCGTAGTGTCTCAGTTAATAGATACATAGAACATACCGGAAAGCCCACATATCCAAAAAACTTGAAGGGGAACTACAATAGGGTGCAAGGCACAGGTGTCCTGACCAGTATGGAGCCAGACATTGGTGTCCGTGGCAAAGGTCGTTAGAAAGGGCGGGGAGACTAACTTCATATACACCATCAGGCTGCTCCCAGCAGTAACCATTCAATGATGGTGTCTGTTTGGGGGGGGGGGGTTGGCATATCAAGATACTTATTGGCAAAAGTCTACGCTGTTACAAAAAAGGGTACGGCCCCGGTACAGTTTTACAGGTACAAACAACAATGATGTACCCCCGGACAAAAATGCTCCTTAAAGTCTACTTTAGTATGTACATTTACCTACAGCTAGTGTACATTTCGCAGACCTTGAGAGTACAGTCCCAGTGGCAAGTCATTTTTTTAAGGTACAAATTAGTACTTTTGTTTCTAACAGTGTAGTTTGATTTTTCTGGGGTCTGGAGCCCACAACCTGGCATAGAATAAGCATGGATGGGTGGATGGATAGATGGATGGTCAGGTTTTAGGGGTCTTCGGTCCTGGCCCTCTCCCGACGTGCGGGCATGCGCCCGTTATTCCAAGCAGGCAGTGGCCTGTAAGCCAGCTGGTCCTCTGCAGGGCCTGTGGTGAGCTGCTTTGGAGGATGGGGGTTTGAGGTGTAGGATTTTAAAGGGGACCAGGAAGGTTAATAACTCACATTCCTGTTTGGGGGGGGGGCGTGAGCCCTGCAGGTGCTCTCCGGTGTCATCCCTAGGGGATGGTGCAGGGCCTTTCTAAGGGGGGTTAGTGGATCACCATACTTGTGCTAACTATCCTGGTGGATCTGTCTGATTCCCATGGACCATAGCCTTGAGTAAGGGTGGGCAATCTTATCTGTAAAGGGCCAGTGTATATGCAGGTTTTTGGGATAACCTTTACGTCAGCAGTTCAAACCCAGGCATGAGGAATCTTCAGCCAATCAGTCCTCTAGTTAGTAATCTAATTAGGGAGTTGCAGTGAAAATCCACGTACCTAATAGCCTCTTCTGGATCAGATTGCCCACCCCTGGTCTTGAGGAATGTCTTTGTCCGTGTCTGTCTGTGGCTGGCTGTGGTTGCCCGTGGCTTTCTGTGGTTGCCCATGTCTATCTGTGGTTGCCCGTGGCTGTCTGTGGTTGCCCATGGCTGTCTGTGGTTGGCTGTGGTTGCCCGTGGCTGTCTGTGGTTGTCTGTGGCTGCCTGTGGTTGCCCATGGCTGTCTGTGGTTGTCTGTGGCTGTCTGTGGTTGTCTGTGGCTGTCTGAGGATGTGTGCATTCGGGCGTCTCCTCAAAGCTGGAAGTCCTGTGGATGTGTTCCGCTCTCCCTTTCTCCTTGCATCGCGTGCCTCCATGTTGAATTCCTCAGGTGACAGGGCATGCTCTCCCTGTACAGCTGCTCCTGCAGAGATAAGAGCTTCAAGCTTCCTGGAAAACTGCCCTCTAAACACCCTTACATACCCCACCCCGCACCCAATTGGCTCCAGAAGCTTTCACCGGCTCATTTGCTAATCCTTATCCAACTGTCGGGAAGTAAGGGTTAAAGGTCAGAGGGCCCAGTTTAGCTTTAGCGAGGCTAACCCTGCATTTGCTTTCTGCTGATCTGTCAAGTCCCCCAGGTACGGCCAGATATTTTTGGTGGCGTGCACGTGAACCGACCTGTTCCTCTTTGTGCTGTGTACAGAGATAACCCATAGATGGGGACATGGTGACATCTACGGCTCACAGCTCCAGTGGTGTAATTTGAGTGCACGCACACACAAGAGTTCAGATCGTGCCGTGTGACTGTACATGTGTTTTTTTGGGAGTGGATGTTTCCCATGTGACAGTGTGGCTGAGCTCGTGCCCGCAGCTTAGAGGGCCATTTGGCAGTGCCGTGTGTGTGAGCATGCGTTGGACTGTGTGTGTGTGGGCAGCTGCGGATCAGTGTCACACTCTGGCTCTGGGCTGCCAGGAGGAGATGCTGCATCCACAGGGAGCTCACGGCTTCCATCAGGGCCTGGCGGGACCAACCCCTCTGCTGTGGTGACCCCTCAGGCTTTCTCTTCCAACTTCTTAGTAGAAGTCACCCTTTTTCATGCTACTCTGGGAGAATCAGCCATGTTGAATCTCACTTTGTGTTTCTCACTTTTGCAGGAAGCTCCTCATTAGCTGACTGTTACGTCCTCATTAGCTGTCAAGTCCTCATTAGCTATCATGTCCACATTAGCTATCACATCTTCATTGCCTAGCATTTCCTCATAAGCTATCACAAACTCATTAGCTATCACATCTTTATTAGCGATTATATCCTCATTAGCTGTCACATTAGCTTCCAGATCCTTCTGTGCTGACTGTCACATCCTTCTTAGATTCCACATCCTCATTAGCAATCATGTCCACATTAGCTATCACATTTTCATTGGCTATCATGTCCTCATAAGCTGTCACATCCTCATTAGCAACCACATCCTTATTAGCGATTATATCCTCACTAGCTATCATATCCTCGTTAGCCATAACTTCCTTGTTAGCTATCACATTCTCATTAGCTTTCACATCCGTCTTAGCAATCTCATCCTTCTTAGCTAACTTTAGGTCCTCGTTAGCTATCACATTCTTGTTAGCTGACTATCATGTCTTCGTTAGCTGACTCTCTTGTCCTTGTCACCTAACTGGCTCCCCCTTTCTGGGTGTCACCCTGTTGCCTCTCTGTCATTGTTCCTTGACCTTCTCACTGCTCTCGTTGAGACCTTAGCTTACCAGCTCACCTTCTTGGGATCTCCCACACATCTCTGCTGCCACTGGTCTTGGACTAGAAGGTATTCTAATGGGCTGCCAGGTGTCCTGGAGGGAATTTGCATCCAGGGAAATATGGAGGGTGCCCGAGGCCTTCTGGGGGCCTCCCACCTGTGCCGCACTGTGCCTGGACGACCTGTCCTCCGTGGGCACCTCCTCTCTCAGGAGAGTTTCTTTTAATCAGATGTCAAAGTGGCTCCCTGGTGTTTAACTGCTCCGGCTTAATGCTTCTAACCAAAGTGGCATTTTACTCATTTGCTCTGCTGGATATTTTAACGGCACTGATCTGAGTTAAGTTCTCCGCCCAAGGCTTTAGCGGCAGAGTCCCTCCTGTGCCCTGAACTTGTGGCATTTCGCATATGTGATAAACTATTGTGCTTCCTGCTGGCTGTAAGCGGTTTTTATAGATGAAAACGAAGGTGACTCAGTGAGTGTCAGCGTTCCCTTGCACTTCCAGCACTGGGCGTCCAGACCCTCCCTTTCCTCTGTGGCTGTGGAGTTTGCATGTTCTCCACACATCACAAGGGTGTTTTCTGTGTACTCAAGTTTCCTCCTGTGGTCTAAAGCCATGTTTCCTCTGGGGGGGCAAAAACGGGGACTCTCTGTGGGTCCCGAGGACCGGATTGGGATACACTTGTCTGAAGACTTATTGTGTATGTGCCCTGAGACAGACTGACATCCTGGCCAGGTTGGACCCCAGCTATGTGCCCTGTCCTGCCTGGGATAGGCTCCAGACCCTGATCTGGATAAGTGCTCAAAAGAAGCATGTAGATGATTTTAGTTTTCAGCCTTTGGTTTGTTTTTCTCTCTGTCTTTCCCTGTATTTTAAGAATTTTCAGAGATGCATATAAACACAAGTGTGTACATGCATTCACACACACACACACACACACACACACACACACGCATTTGTATTGATTTCCTTGTGGGGACTCTCCATTCATTTCCATGGGCATAACCCTAATCCCAAAAAAGACAACCTTAACCCCCACCCAGCCCTAACCTTAACCATAAGTAACCAAACAAAATACAAGACTTTTGGCATTTTTAGTTTTTTGATTATTTGATTTAGTTGTGGAGACTGAAAAAATGGTCCCCACAATATCAAAATAACAGTTATTTTGATCACATTGCAGGGACATCTGGTCCCCACAATGTAATATACATGTGACCCCCCCCCCCCACACACACACGCCACCTGGAGGCAGGCACTCAGCAACGCACCCTGTCCTCCCAGGTGGGTTCAGGGAAAGTTCCCCCATATTTTTGGTAATGGGCTTTCCCGGTTTCCATGGAAACTCCCTGTTGACATCGGCCAGCTGCAAACTCCTGGAAGCTATTCCCAGGTGGAGAAAGGCCGGCCGTGTGCTCTCCCTTCCTTTGTTTGTGTGGATGCATGTGTGTGTGCGTATTAGTGTGTATTTCTTCATTGTTTTCCTCACAGGAGTAACAACAAAGCAAGGCAGTAGCTTTCTGAAAATCCTGTAGCCTTTTTGTCCCAGTTTTTATGCTGTTTTAATTTTGAAGGGATCGTTTTTATTTGTATCTTTGTTTTGACCTGACATGGAGAAGAGAATCTGCTTGGGGTGGGGGGGGGGGGTTTCTGCTGCTTGATGTCCCTCAGAAGCTTGTCAGATATGATGGTGTGAGGAATCTCACCCAGCTTTACAACAAGTAGGGCTGTCATTCCCGGTGGAGTCCTGACCTTAAGGTGCGATTTGGAGGGGGGGGGGGGTTTACAGGCTCATTCTTTTTGGGCAGGTCCTGTCTTTCAGTTAGCAGTTCTATAGTGAAATGAAGGAGGTAAACTGAGGAACTAAGGGCAAGAAGGCCGGTCATCCGGACTGCAGTCCTGTGCTCTGCTTTCTGTGGAGAACTTTCCGGAAGGTTCCTGAGACAGGAGCAGGCGTGGGGGCGTCGGTGCGGTGGCTATCGCAGTGGTGGCCCTGCAGGGCTGGGTCTGCAGTCTGGAAGGTCCCGCATGCTTCCGTGGAGACAATGAGCGGGCCGAGCTGGAAGAGGGAGAGGCAGGAAGAGCGCGTGATGTCAGAGGGCGATACGTACGGGAAGCGGGGGTGGGAGCGGGGGATGCCGGGGAGGGGGAGCTCCGTGGGTCAGCCAGCCGCTCTCCAGTTTCCTGGCCGCTCCCTCCCCTGGAGAGCGAGCCTCCTCACACGCCGGACCCGTTACTCGAGCCGTGGTCGTCTGAGGAGGCGCAGCAGGAGCGGTGGAGCTCTCCCCCGCAGCGGACTCGCGAACCGGCAACATGTACAGTGGATATGGAGGTACCCTTTAAAGCGCTGCTGTCTTTCCCGGGGGGGGGGGTGCGGGTTTGCTGAGTGCTGGTTCCGATCGTCCTCAATCATTTTTGCCCTGCTTTCGGTTCTTCTTCTCAGGGAGGGGGGGCGCCCCTTTTTGAACGTTTATTTTTCTCTCCACTCAGCTTGCGGCGTCTTTGTGGTTGGGGGGGCCGCTGCCGTCAGAATAGCGGATGTGTCGTTTAAGGGTGTCTCACCTTGCGAGGGAGTTAAAGAATGTAAATTTACGGCTGCCGTCAGACCCTGAGCCACTGTTTGAGTTTCACCCTGAATTCCCACATTTCGCTTTGCATTGTCCTGCCTGTGGAGCCTGATAGCATTTGTGTCCGGCCCCAAACACAGGGGCCCCTGAAATCCCTCCCCCTCCTCTTCCTCGCCTGGAGGTGCAGATTGTGCAGCTTCCCTGTGTGGTTTGTTTGTGGCCCCCTGACTAACACCCCCATCCCACGCAAACACTCTTGCTGTTGCTTTTAGCTGTCTGCTGCTTATCAGTTACTCTTCCCATCTGAGGGCGCTGGGTCCCTGTGCGGGTTCTGGTTCCTGTTCCATGCGACCCTGTCACCCCTCCGGGATGGGAACTGTCTGCGGCACAGCAGAACCACGGGGGCCCGTCCTGGATGTGGAGTCTCAAACCGGGCCTGTTCTTTCACATCAGCAGGAATGATCGTTAGGGTGCTGCGCTGAATCTGGGGAGACCAGCTTAGGAGAGGCCATTTTCTTGATTTGTTACAGTAAATGCAGATAAAATATATTTAAAAAATACAGAAGGAAGAGCTTCAGATCTCTCACTGTACTGGTGTCTGTCAGTGTACTAGTTCCTTTCACTGTACTGATACCTGTCACTGACTGGTATCTGTTGTTGTACTGGTATGTGTCACTGGTTGGTATCTATTACAATTCTGGTATCTATCAGTGTACTGGTACCTTTCACTGTACTGGTATCTATTACTGTACTGGTATCTGTCACTGGTTTCTATCTGTCCCTGGCATGTCTCTGTGCTATATGACATGTGACAGCAGGCAGAATTTCTGGGCCCGATCTGATGTCCATCCAGTTCTTCGTCATTTTTGTCCTGCTGGTGGTGAAGTGACTTATGGTGAGTGAATTAGCTTGTGTAGCTGTGGACACTGCTGGGGGGGGGGGTGAGAGCAGGCCACCTCGCTGTGGTCAAGGCCCCTCCCACCATAGCAGCTTCTCTGTCATACAGAGGCTCCTAATTGTACCTGCTGATGTTCCAGAACCCCAGTCTATACTGAGACCTGTGGTGGTGGAGAGGGGGTAGGGTCAGGATAGAGAACCCAGAACATCATGAGCTCAAATCCCAGAAAGATGTTAGGAAAACAGTTATAACATGGGTGCTATGCAGGGGTCATTCCTGAACAAATTACATCTGGTTTGAATCAAATGCTGTTTTACTGAACAAAGACACCAGAAATCCCATTCTTCCTGGAAAAGTGTGTGTGTCCCCCAAACAGACAGATCTCTTGGGCTGAGACTCGGGATATGTGAAGAGATGCTGCAGGTGGATCGATGCTGCAGGAATCGGGTTCCTGGGCTCAGTGGCAAACTGAGGTTTAGATCATGTAGATGAAATGGGGAGCTGGATGTGACCAATCAGAGAGTGAGCTGGGGAGAGGGGCGGGGCCTGTAGCTTCACCTGATTAGCAATGGGTCATTTCCAAACTACTTGATGTTGAAATCAATTTGTCAGAGAAAATAAAACCCAAATGGAAAGGAATTAATACCAGCTTTATCAGTTATACGAAATCCTTTGTGCAACGATTAGTCGTTTGTTTTTAATTTGTCCGTGTTATTGTCCTTTTTTGTACGTTCACTTTGTTTATTGACTTTAACCGGGAAAATGGGTTAGGTCAGCAGTATCAGGTGGCTGCGTAGCGATCGGGGGGGTGCACAGGCTGCTGGTGGCTGGGGTCCGCGGGTTGGACTCCCTACACCAGAAACTGGTGTATTCCAGGTCACTCCAATCAGAATGCCAAATCCTAGTCACCTGACTCCCTCCTCAGACCACTGCCTCTTTGAAATATTTACACAGCTGGATATTTGTTTTTTTTTTTTTTGTGGAGGAAATACATATTTAAGTATCTAATGTTAATTCCCACAATGCACTGCTCCACTCTCTCATTCCCTGGCTGGGTTTTGTACAGTGAATTCAGACGCACATTTATTCAGAAAATGTATTAAATCCTGAATTTGCTTTGTCTCTGTGGGGTATTGAGTGTGGAATGATGAGCGAAAAAAATGTACTTGACTGTTTTCAGTGTATGACTGTAACATAACAAAATGTGAAAACAGTGAAGGGATCTGAATGCTTAGTGAAAGCCCTGCACCTGGGAGAGTCCGAGCTACGGGACAAGACCATAATTCATGATCGGGGCTCCGGTCTTCTCCACAAAAGAGTGAAAAACAGCAGCGGTGGCCTCCGGTAAAAAGGCCGAGGTGTGAATCCCATCTAGGTAATGAGAGATGGTTCCCCCTGGCGAGGGGCTTCTGAAGACTCTGCTCTCATGGCGCAGAGAACAAAGGCGGGACTCCAGCCTGCAGTTTGGATGTAGTCGCTTGAATGGAGCAGCAGTATGTGTGACTGGGCCAGAGGCTCGCCTGCTCTCACACACAGGGGCTGCCGGGGCTTTGGCCGGGGAGTGTGTGTGTGCGTGTGTGTGTGTGTGTGTGTGTGTGTGTGTGAGCGGGTTTACCTATCCTTATGGGGACATGTGTGCACTTGTGTGTGTTTACTTGCTGAGCCGACTGCCTCATCTCTGTGGCCCACATTTCTGCGCTCTTATCTGGGTCCGCACTGAAGTGTGGGGATCAGTGTGCTGCAGCTCAGTGCTGCCTGAGGATCGACCAGCACCATGTTCCTGGCCAGTGCAGCCTGTGCCCAGCTGCTGTGCCAGACCCAACACACACACACACACACCCACCCAGCCCCAACACACACCCCCCACCCAGCCCTTACCTTAACCATAAGTAACCAAACAAAATACGAGATTGTGGCATTTATAGTTTCTTGATTGCATTCACAAATCTTTGTTGGGAGCTGAAAAATGGTCCCCACAACATCAAAAAAACAAGTTTTTATTACATTGCGTGGAACATAATCCACACGCACACAAAAACACAAATGCAATTAGCATTCCTGTCACTAACGTAGCCGTTAGTGTTGCTTAGCCTCCCTGCTAAGTGTCCCACACACCAACGCCAAGCTCAGCAGGCAGATTAACTGCACGGGGGCCTCACGCGCTCTGCTCTCCTTGTGGGGCTATCAGCCTTCCTTTTCATCCCCCCCATAATCCCCCCCCACACTAGGGGCATTGTTTACAGAGCCAGTGGAGCCACTCCCCTTTCAGCCGGCCCCCGGGCCCCGCTAATCACTGATATGAAGAGCCCGACTGACTGACGAGAAACGACACCTCCCCCCTCAGCCAGCAGCCTGCACACACACCCCCCCCCCCCCACCCCAGGGGGGTCTGTGTAAGACAAACACGGACACTCGGGTCCCGAAGCCTAACTTCATGGAGGCAGGGTCAAATCTTGCAGACGCAGACCAGAAAAGAGGAGTAAATACAGGGAGGGCAGGAGAGCGAGGAGCCAGGGAGGGAGAGCGGGTGGCCTCTGTGACAGCACCGTGTCATTATTCCATGCGGAAAGTACTGGAAGCATCCCGGAATAAGGCTGAGCAGCAGAACGATGTGCATGAGCTCCCGGCCGGATCTGGCTGCGCTCGTCCCCGTGGAACTCCGCGGAAGGCCACAATTTTCCATATCAGGTGATACCTCTGCTCACTCTCTCGTGCTCATTTCTCTGTCTTACTGCCACGCTGTACAACCCGCCGCATTTGGGGCAGCAGCGGGCCGACCGTCCGGGATCCGGTGGACCGGCTCTCTCCGTGTGGCCGATGGACCTTCTTGGGAATTGTGTTTATGTGGAGGACAGAGGAAGGGCTTACAGAAGGAGGCTGGGATTGGGGTACTGGACAGAGAGGAACACCGAGAGTCGGTCTATGGTGTGTGAAGCTTCAGTGGAGGGGGTGGGACGTGTAGAGGCCTTTGGGGCGGAGGGGGT